CTAGGACATATAGGCATGAAGTTTTCCAATATTTCTTCCATGAAATTATGACTGCTTGCCCTGAAGTATTGGAATGGCTTCATAACCACCATAAATTGTTGTGGATGAGAAGTGCTTTCAATCAAGAAATTAAGTGTGACTATGTTACCAACAATCTTGTAGAGTCTTTTAATAACTAGATTAGAGATTGGAATGATCTTTCTATAGTTGAGCTTGCTAATAAAATTAGAGAAATGTTAATGGTATTATGGAACAAGAGAAGGTTGATTTTAGAGAGACTTGAGGGTAACATCCTACCTGCTATCCTAACTATACTAAAAGCAAGGACTAGGGGATTAGGAAACCTGACCGTTGTGAAGGCAGGTTGTTTTGCTGCAGAAGTACATGACACTACCAGCACACATAATAGATATGTTGTCAAGTCATCCTTGCATGAATGTATCTGTCTTGAATGGCAGCACACTGGAAAGCCTTGTCGGCATGCTTTGGTCTTGCTAATAGCCCAACAAAGTGCTGATGTAAAGTTGGAGGACTTCGTTCATGACTATTACTCTGTGCAGAGGTTTAAAAATGCATATAAGAGGCTTATAGAACCACTTCTAGATAAGACACAGTGGCCAAAAGTTGATATTTCTTTTCCTGTTGAGGCACCACTTGATAAAAAGGTGTTGGAAGGTACAGGAAACTGAGAATTAAATGTTGTTTGGAAGGAGGCAATGTTGGCAAAACCAAGAAGGTTGCCAAAGAGGCTGCAAACGAAGCTGACAAAGATGCTGAATTGGAGGCCAGTGAGGCTGCTAAAGGTAAGAGGCAACTGATTAGAGGGAAAAGGAAATGCAAGAGATGTGGAGAATTGAGACATGGAGAAACTAGTTACAAGTGCAGACTTAATGGGACTAAGAAACCACCAAAAAGGAAGGTTAGGCCAAATACAACTAAGTATGGCAAAAATGCTAAGGTCCCTGTAAAGAGGGCAAAAAAACATGTTTCTGGGGAGCCTGACAATGAATGTGGCCAAGCCCCACCAGTCACAAGTCCCACTAGTCACAATGAATATGGCCAAGTCCCACCAGTCACAAGTCCCACCAGAACAAGGGAAACACTGCTGCAAGATAGTCCTAATAGGATGACACGAAGGTACAAGTGTCCAATATTTTGTTATTCATTCATATGTCCAATATTCTGTTTTATTAATTCTCCTCATTTTTTTTCAAATGTCAGACTACTTAATCTTCTGATGGAGGAAGAAACAAGTCCTCAGCCAATGCACAGTCTGATGGGAGAAGACACAAGTACTCCCAACAAGAGACAAGGAGAAACAATGAAGAAGACAATTGCAAAGAAGCTGATGCCAAGGAAGAAACAAGTCCTCAGCCAACCCAGGAGCTGAATCTCCAGAATTTGTATAATGTAGTCTGTTTCCACAATCTGTTGTATGTGGTATTGTACTTGACAATGTAGTCTGTTTCTAGAACTTTGATTTCACCTTTGAAACTTGTGTCGTCTTGTGGAATTGAAGTATGTGGTATTGTACTTGACAATGAATCCAGAATTTGCATAATGTAGTATGTTTCCAAAATATGCAAAAGTGTGGCTGCTGTTGAAACTGTAAACTTATTGATGCTCATGTTGGTGGAGTTGGAGTCATGGAAAGCATTCTAGATTGAGTCATGGAAAGCATTCCTATACTGTTCTCTGTTTGTATCCATGTTCTCTATTTGCAGTCAATCAAGGAACAGCATGCACAAAATAGTCAAAAGCGTTGGCTGCTGGATAACACAAATGACAAGAAGATAGATGAAATCGGACCCAAAAATCGTTCTTGGAAACTTTCTCAAGATTCTAACTGAAACAACACGCTTGTAGCCGCCAAACATGATTGAAAATGGTAGCTGCAGAACTAACAGGATCAGACCGAACTGATAATATCACGTTCACAGTAGCTGCAAAAATTTCAAAAAAAAAACGGGTTTATTAACTGAGATTACTAACTGAGAATGTGCCATGAGTAGAGTATGAACTGTAGTTTGTAGAGCAGCTATTGTATTACCTTCAACGGATCAGTAGCAGTAGCATTACCTTCAACAGATCAGTAGCAGTAGCATTACCTTCAACAGATCAATAGTAGTAGCATTACCTTCAATAGATCAATAGTAGTAGCATTACCTTCAACAGATCAGTAGCAGCTATATATGTTTGATTTTTGCAGGAGGCTTAAAAATCCAGTCACCAGCACAGCAGGTTCAATGAAGCAACTAACTTCTTTCTTAGCTTATGATACACACAGTAGCATATGCCATACAGTTATGTTAGACAAATGGAAACATGTACAGAATGACAAATGTCACACAGAGATAGGAAATCATTCCAGATTCATGACACAGCACACAGAGATAGGAAAGCATTCCAGATTCATTTATTTCAGCACACAAGTTCTACAATTACAGAAAGCACACTCATCACCCACTCTTAACAATTCCATACAAATTGATCACTAGTACAAGTGCACAAACTAATATCAAGCATTTCAGCAAGAACACAATCTCTCTAGTTATTCCTGTCAGGTACTTCAACTGCTCTAGTTGTCCACCATCTCCCTTGGTATGTTCTTCTGGTTGTGGCATCTTAGTGCTCTGAAAAATAGGCTGATAAGAGGGTGGCACATGCTTGTTATCAACCAGCCATTGCTCATAGTCCTCCTCCCACTTCCAAAAGTCACATCCACCACCATCCATCTGTCACCAATGCAAAGAAATTTCAATTGACTGAACAATACAACACATGAATTACAAACAAAATGGAAGAAATCATAGAACCGTTTGAGTTGAACAGATGTAGAACATGCGTCCATAGTTCTTCTCTGTCTTTTCCATCAATGCCTTGACAATGCGGCATTTGCATTTAACACAGTTGACAAGAGGGAGAATGACTCTACTCCCAGCCCTCTAGATGTCCCCCGTCGAATTGCTGCACCCATCCATTTGGGCGGCGCCGAAGTGGAGCGGGCTGGCCGGCGCCTGCAGTGGAGGTGGAGGCGTGGGGGCGAGCTTGCACCAGCAGGGGAGGAGAAGGCGTGGGGGCAGGCCTGTGCCGGCAAGGGAGGCGGTGTCTTTGGGGAAGCCCAACGGCACGAGAGTGGACGCGTCGACTGGGGACGCGCCGGCCTGGCGCGGCAACCTATGCGCAGGCCTAGCTCACGGCCTAGGGCGGAGCTGAGGCTGACCTGGGCCGGAGGCGGCGCTTGGATGGCCTGGGGATGCGGTGTGGTGGCAGGGCGGTGCCGTCAGGGGAGGAGGCGGCGTGGGGGAAGGCCAGCGCCGGCACGGGAGGGGTCCACGCGTGGTGGCAGGGCGGTGCCGGTAGGGAGGGGGCGGTGTGGGGAAGGCCAGCGCCGGCGCCGGCATGGGGAGGGAGCGGCGTGGGGAAGGCCAGCAATGGAGATGGAGGAGAGGGCCGATCCATTTTGTTCGATCCGTTCTGATGGAACGAAAGTAACAGCGCCAGGGGTAGGAATGGAAGACGGCGTCTTCTCTTTTTTTTCACGAATTCAAACTACACAAAGTGTATTCCAGCGGGTTGCATCCGTTTCATAATGGCTAAATTGCGAAACCAATTTGAGGGATAGTAAAACTGCGAAACCCGTTTCTCATGATGGGTCAAATGCCAAAGTCTCGGAAAAGGAGGGGGCGTCAGATGAAACAGAAGGGAGAAGCGGGTGGTGTAGGGTATTTTATCTCAAAAAAAAAAACTGTGGCGCACGGAGCAGGCTGGATGGCCCAAATTTTCTGCTCGGGCGTAGCGCGAGGATTACTGTGGCGCATGATGAAAGCAGGCAGGATGGCCCAAAATTTTCTGCTCCAACATGGAAATAGTGGCGCTTGCGGGATTGCTCAAATTTTCTACTCGAGCGCACATGAAAGCAATGGCGCGTGAACTGAAATTGTGGCGCGTGATTGTTTTATATTGATTTTAGGTATACAGAAAAAAATGTTATATGGTGAAAGAAAGGGTTTCAAAATTTTTAAATCAGTGTGTTGCTCAAAGGAAATCACATTTTACAATGATGTCCTCCTAAACAAAGACCAAATAAAGGAAATCATTACCTCATTTCAAATTTCTTGATTAAGGAACTAATGTGTTTTATGAGATTTGCAAGTATTCATAGGATTTAGTCCCAAGTGTGTTGTATTGAAATTCGGCTCAAATATGAGCACATGACACACAGAAGAGAAAATGAGTCGAGACATTATCCAAATGAATTGATAAGCTTGCAAGTATTAATTATGAATGAGACATAGATGTTTGCATACGGAATGGCCTCACTCTTGAAGCTCCCAATCTGCCCCTTGTTGGATCCCTTAAGAAAAAGAATCATCTCATTTTGATCTCTTGTGACAGAGAAATACTAGTTACAACTTTTTATTTCTAGATAAAAAAGAAAATATTTACTACTTTATGTGTTCTTCAATTTCTTATATTATTTACTTTTTGTACTAAAATTTTAAATACTTCTAAGTATATTGTTTGAGATCTTAGGACTTAATTCATTAGGTCCTCTGCTCACTTAGGAACTAGGAGCAAAGCTCTAAGAGTAATGAATGCTTCACACAAACTTCTTGTCACCACAAAGTGCTCAAGCTTGCTCAACTCTGATTTTGCTCACACAATCTCACAAGGCTCAAATGTTGCTCTCCAATTCAAGAAATATGGCTAGATGCACACCAATCAACAAGGGACAATTGTCTGGCGGACATCCAAAGTGATGGTCGTTTCGCTGGCGGACACCCTGTTTTGAGTAGTTTGTCAGAAGACATTTTGGTTCGGTGAAATTAGGCCACAGAACACCGCGGACCGGTTGCAGCCGGTTGAGGAGAGAGAAAATTTTGTTTTGGACATCCGGTGTCCCTGAGCCACAGTTGGATCCACCCCTCTCCCTCTCACTGACGCGCGGGCCCCACCTATCATCTTCTTCTTCTTCTCTCTCTCCCCCTTTTTTCTGATCACGCCATCGCGGGCGGCTGCGCCTCGTCCACAGCGGCGTCCGTGAGCACCAGCAGGCACAGCCTCCCCTCCACGGCGGCGATCCGCTTGCGTGCCCACGGGTCGTCCGTCTCGTCCACCTCCCTCGGCAGCGCGATGAGCTGCCACGCCTCGGCCCTAGCGTCGAACGTGAACACGTGTTGCGCGCTCGTGAGGCGGTCGGGCTAGCGGAGCCAGTGCATGGCGCCCTGCGCGCACACGGCGGGCGCCGCGGGACGGAAGAGCGAGTCCGGGCACAGCAGCACGTCCGGGGCGTGGCGCCACGCGAACTGCCGCGAGTCGAACACCTCGCAGCGCAGCCGGTCCCGTAGCCACTGGGACAGAGAACCTGACGACCTTGAACTCCGCCGCGGTGCTAGAGGCGGAAGGCCGGGCCACCATGGCGACCGCCGCCGTGCGGAACCTTACTTGCGGGCTCGGCAGCGCCCGCCACTGCCGCGAGGCCGGCTTGCACACGTAGTAGCAGGGTGGCCGTGCCATGTCAGCCTCAGCGCAGCATGCGAGGCTGCGGTGCGCGGACACGGCCTCGATGCGGACGTGCGCGGATGGCTGGAAGTCGAGCGAGATTGCCTTCGGCGCCACCCCCGGAGAGCCGTGCATGGAGACGAAGTCGGCGTGGTAGCGGTTGCGGGCCATGCTCTGGACGAGGTAGCCCGACACGGCGGCGGCAGTGCAGCGGCGCGAACGCCGACTCGTACGTATATATAGGAAATCTGCTCAGGAAGACAGAAAAAGGACCGAACGATGTGGATCGCAGCAGCAACTCATCGACGCACGTTTATACTGCAATGTTGACATCCTGTGTTTGTTCCCGTAGCAGCCAAGCATATATATAGTAGACGACGAGCTCGCCAGCTCGTCCGTGCGCCTGCGTAGCCGGGCTGGTCGACGGCGGTGGCTGCTGCTCAGCAATGGAAAAGGAGAAGAGGAGGAAGAAGAAGATGACAAGTGGGGCCCGCACGTCAGTGAGAGGGAGATGGGCGGACCGAACTGTGGCTCAGGGGCACCGTATGTCCAAAACAAAAATTTCTCTCTCCTCAACCGGCTGCAACCGATCCGCGGTGTCCTGTGGCCTAATTTCACCGAACCAGAGCGTCTTTCTGGCAAACTGCTCAAAACGGGGTGTCCGCCAGCAAACGACCTTCATTTTGAATGTCCGTCAGACAATTGTCCCTTTTCTTAATGTTTTCGAAAATCATGGTGTATCCGTTGATGATATTCATTTTGATATTAAATTTTGTTATTGGTTCTTTTTAATATGGCTTGTTTTATACCACCCAAGTATCAGACAAGTCGTTCGTTGTATAGCTAAACATCGAACATGATGTTGGGCAAAAACTCAAAATACATTCTTATATCATCTATAAACAAGCTTCAATAAAAAAATAAAATTGGGATAACATTTTATTTTATTGTTTATTCATTTCATAGCACATGATTATTCAAGGTGATCGGTAGTTAACATGATTTTTGCATGAAAGTTTAATAAATCCTCAAATGGTATGTTTGTTAAGAACATAATCTCGTTGGTCCATTCCACACTCTTTTGGTTTGAGCTTTTTATATAGTTTATGTGGCTCTAGCAAAATTTAAGGTGATCAGTGTAAATTTTATATGAACTAGGTAGCGTGTCCGTGCGTTGCTACGGAATAACTAACAATTTATACTAAAAACATACGGATCGTATGATAAAATAACAATACTGTTAAATTAAATACCAACGTTAAAGTGACATTTAATCAAAAAAGCAAAGTTTATGAATTTAACATAGTCACGGAGTGCGCGGCGTCGCAGGCTCACAAACTCTAGAGCTTCTAGAGATTGGGTCGAATCCAACCTAAAGTCTCGGAACCCTGCATCTTTTCCTGGACGGGCTTCACTTCGGATGCGCTGGTAGCAATATCAATGATCTCCAGTCGATGGACCAAGTCGTATGGATCCCCATACAATGGCTCAGACATATAGATTTTGTTCTCCTTGTACTTAGATACACTTGTTCCACTGAAGCTTTTATTGAAATGTTTAGATACGAATAGTGTCTGACCACCGATGTCCCTCACACTGGACCACTCCGGCGTATGGTCGTGGAGGTTGCACTTGTAGATCGTGCTACTGTAGGTGAAGCTCTGTGTCTCGTGGAACATACTCACCATGGCACCCACAATGTGCAGCTCACCGTTTGATTCTAGGTAGCTGCGGTGGCAGAGCCCCGCAGGTGGCGGCAAACGATGGCGGCGATGCGTCGTGGTTGGAGTAAGCGCCCGGCGGCGTTCTTTGCTATGACGGAGATTTCTCCAGTGCAGTCGATCGCCAAGAACTTATCTTGGCAGTGGACGATAGACCCCACGGAGAACTCTAGTTTGGCGTCGAGCAGCGTCCATGTGTTGTCGACTCCAACCCGGCAGAACGCGACCTCCGTGGAGCACCCAAGCATGGCCATGGCCACGCACTCGCGCCCGGCGGCGTCAGACGGCGCCGAGAGCATGATCTCACGGAAGAACATGTCCCTCATGTCTTCTAGCTTGATAGCTCTTCCTACGGCATCCGCGTCCCCATAGCCGTTGGTGGGATGGAGGACCCACCGGTCGTGGACCCTAGACACGCGTTCCGATGAGGACGCCACCATGACGTGTTCGCCTGCTGGCGGGAGCTCAACACGAGGGGCACGGGCACCGACGAATGGATTCAGCAGCGTCACGGACGCCGCCTCGTCCATGAGCGCCAGCCACCCACATGAGGAGCGGACGCCAACTTGCCGCGCACGTCGGGCAGCGTCTTGGACAAGACTTTCTTCTCCGGGACGCAGTAGAAGCCGACGCGGTCCGAGTCAGGGTCGAACGGGAGCAGCAAGAGTGGCTCGAAGGTCACGAACGGGACGGCGGCACGCCATGGGGAGCAAGCAGATCGGAAGGACACCGCGTCGTGGCCTGACGCGAGACGCTGCCCGATGGATTCGAGGAGATCCTCTGGCAAGCCGGATCTCCAGTTAGAGAGAGGTAGGGACCTTCTCTTGGGATTAGGAGGCTGAGCCATGGAAGATAGATGACATCAACTATGGTTCATGCAAGAAACAGCAAGCGAGGGCGATGGAAACACACACTACTACACAAACTTTACTGGAGGCGGGCGTTTTCGGTTTCCCACGGTAGGCAAAGCCGTCCGCCGCGGCCTAGAGGCCACGGTAAATCGTGGCTTAACCACGGCGGGCGGCTTTGCCCGCCATGTTAACCGATTTATCATGGCGGCGCGATATAACGTGCCCATCATGGTAAATATACTTTTACCACGGCAGTAAGTTACACCGCCCGTCCGCGGTAAATTATTTTATCGTATGGCGGACACCTTTTGTGGCCCGCCATGTTATTATGTTCATTAGCCGTGATTTTAAGCTTTATTATTTGCCCGCCTCGGTAAATTTTTTCCTGAATTAAAAAAATACAGCAGGCATATAAATTCAAATTCAAATCACATCCAGATTTCACAGATTAAACTTAAAAAGTATACAGGCATTACACATGAGATAATATACATATATATACATTCACTTAGTCGTTCTTGTCATCGTTAATTCATTACATTTACATATTAAAGTCGTTATACATGCGCTAAGGTGTAATCCTACGGACGCATCATCGTGGGTCATTTCCTCAGCCTCTCGTACTCTGGTAAAATCGCTAGCGGGCTGTTCTCATTGAAGAACGTGCCCCCTTCAAGCACGCATTTGTCTAAGACAAACTTATATATGTCCGCCTTTGTCTTCTTAAAGCTGTGTTGGGTGCTCTACACGTCTTTCGACTAGTTCAATCCATTCTTGAGCACCCTCCAACTGCTGCTGTACTAATTGCACTCCCTCAGGAACTCACAGGCGTAGAAGCCACAGGTTTGTGATCCTACCGGTTGTTTGGCACACTGCATGATCGATACACAGGCATTACAACACAGGCATTAGAACACATATGAACGGAAAGCACAATTAAACCTTTCAAATACTTATCGAAAAGTTGCGTCTAATTTTGATGCGGTTCTTATGCTTAGCCTTAAAATTATCTATTCTTCGATCATAGCATTCATGATCCTTCACGTACTCCTTATAAGCGCTATACGAAATGTACTAGTATTAGGCAGAGCATTAGAACGCACATGAGAAGACAGTTCAATCACTTACACTATGAGGCAATCTTCAAAGGCCTTGTACCCTTTTAAGTTTGGCACTGTCAACGAATCAAATACGTAGGCCCTACCATCCTAAGGGTAGATGATAAATACAACCCAGTGACCCTCGAGGCCTTGGCTGCGCCATTGAAACAAAATACAGGTTACGACGAGAAATAATAATACTAGCTAGCTACCCACTTATCTCTACAGGCATGTCTTCGACTTACCCAAAGTGGTAGGCAGCTAGGATACACCCATTTCCCCTGATCTTCTTCATTATTCCTAGTATGTACCTTGAAATGTTCAACTTCTCATTGTCCATCAGTTTCTTCCTGTGTGCCTCTCTCTGTCGCTTGGTCAAGTCTTTCATGGTTGGATGATTGTCAACTAGGTGGTAACCAATGATGATTCTTTGAGCAATATGCATTGGAGATAGATAGATAACATCAAGTTTTAGTTCCTTGGATATATAGGCCATCAACCTGCAAGGACAAGCCATCGTGGCATATATAAGTAGTCTTGACCGATTCAAAGGCAGGTGATATGTGAAACTCGTAATTCATCACTTACATAGAGAACAAGGTGACTTGGGCGATGTCAAGGTCTTGTTCCCGTAGTAGTCTATACATGTCGTGGAAGTCCATGGGGAGTTCTACATCGTTGCTGGGCAAGTGGAAGTACTCCGCCACAACCTTGACTAGAAAACCATGCAGGCCAAGTTTTGCCGCTTCGATGTACCAGAGATGAAACCTCCTTGTCTCCCACCTTTCCTCATCAACGAGTTGGGCCTTGGTTATCATGAACTTCCCATGCTCGTAATGGCCGGGGCAGTCATCCAATTCAAGAAATAGATGGAAAGGTGATCTTGGCCTAGGATAGAAATGTTAGTACCATATTATGGCAAAGAAAAGTTATTAGCAAATTATGCTTGCCGCTACCATACCTTTCAAACTCAAGTGAGTATGTGAGCTGCCCTTGGTCGCCTTTAGTCTTCGTCGGTGGTGGAGGACAGTGGCTTGTGCTCGCAATGGCAGCAGGCTGTGTCTTTGCCCCCGGTTCCTCCGTGCCTCCCGGTCCTTTGCTAGTGCCCTTAGACGGACTGCCGGGAGGTGGAGGTGGACTTGTTGTTGGAGGAGGAGAACGAGGGTGAGGGCTTGTGCCTCCCGGTCCTTTGCTCGTAACCTTAGACGGACTGCCGGGAGGTGGAGGTGGACTTGTTGTTGGAGGAGGAGAACGAGGGTGAGGGCTTGTGCCTCTTGGTCCTTTGCTCGTGCCCTTAGATGAACTGCCGAGAGGTGGAGGTGGACTTGTTGTTGGAGGAGGAGAACAAGGGTGAGGGCTTGTGCCTCGGGGTGAGTTCCTTCCCTTGTCATCCCCGCCATTGCCTTCGTCATCACCGTCGCCGTGATCCGGATCATCGGGGGGACAAGATCCGACAACGGATGGTTGTGATGTTGGTGTTGCCGTCAGCGTAGAAGTCG